ATCTGGTTTTTTATAGGTTTATTGTATTTAATATCTATTAAGTTAAAATGTATTACAATATTTACAGCATTTAACTTAGAAGACTTAAAACAAACGACATGGCGTGTATTGTGTCATACAAAAGCGTGTGACAGCAACAATAAAAATTGTGATTTCCACAAAATAACCATATTCCAGCGCGTGTCAACGGCTTGACAAGGTTACCCGGAAAACGTAATGATCCATGCGAAAGAATCGAATTATATAAATTGTTCTTACTTATTAAACTTGTTTAATTGCTTGCAGACTTTCGATGTAAGGTCAGAGATAAGAAAAAAATACTTCCGCGTTGACATAAAAACGGTCAATATGGCATGTTTGGCAGTACTGATGTATGTATTAGGATGCGATATCATTTTTGCGAATCGCCCCATTTGATATATATAAATGTAGACAGATTCTGCTTTCTATGAATTATTTATCTAAAAATAACAGATATTATTTATATGGACACTGTTGTTTAAGATTTAGAAAACTTTCAGGCTATTGGTAGTCTTTACAACAAATCTAAAGAAATTAAATTATCACCTACTAGATACAAGTTTTAATGGTATTAACCAGTTCTCAGTAGCAGTAATAAATAAGAGGAACATCCAAGCCTACTATTATATCATTCAAACATACATATTGTTAATTACAGTGTGGTAGAGTTTATTTTAGTGGATGATAATGGAATGGTAGATTAACGTATACCTTACTGGTGAGTACCTGTGGAGGATGATAATATATCAGATGTCACCGTGACATCAGGTCAGTAAGCCTAAAATAACATTTCACCAGGAATTAACCGTCATGTGTTTTCAGGGGACTAATGAGACATCAATCTGGTCTGGTGTGATATGGTACATCATAGCAAGCACATAAATGTCACTCCCTATTCCTAATATCTCCCCCATACCATCCACACTTATAATATATCGACTGCTTTCAATATTCGATTTAGTGATTTATGCAATTGCACCGTTCCGCATATTCCTACCCTAATTTCATTCCTGACAAATAGATATAGAATCACCAAAATTTTAACTTTTAGATGAAATAAAGTAAATATTTTTAATATAATTCTACATCCAGTAATCTGCTAGTCGCTGTATATTACATACATTGCACAAGGCAAATAACTTCGTGTATACTTGTTTAGTACTTATATGTATACAAATGTATAATATAAACACACATGAATCTGTAAATGTCATGGTAAATATTGAAGAAGTTTTCAACTGAGGAAGCTTGATACATAATATTTTATTGGCACTATAAATTAAGAATTATTAGACGTAGTTTTTATGTACGTGTTTTATATCTGCAAATGGTTGTATAGTCGTCTTATATTATATATATAATATGTTTCCTATGTAGTAATATTTAAATACTTAGACATCGGTAGGTACTTCATAACTAGAATAATTTAAATAAATTTATCTACTTAAAGGTACTTAACTGAATAAATTTGAAATAATAAGTAACCAAAGCACATGAATGGGTACAGCTGTTTTTGTCTTTATTTTTTTTAAATCACCTAATTAAATTATATACTATGCAATACTAAAGCATAAACTTGTCTTGGAATTTTATTTGTTTTTAAATATTGTGAATATAAATAAATAAATTGTTGTATTCAAGATAAAAAATAAATTAACATGTGTATAATTATAGATTTTTTTAAGTAAATTGAAATAAAACTAAATTTATAAGACTAAAAGCAAGCTATATACCGGTTGTTCATACAAAGTTAACGCAGTATAAAAATAATTGTATACATTAACACTAAAATTATTCTCCTTAATTTTTTTTATCAGTAAGCAGCTTTTATTTTAAAAAATAACTGGTATATTTTATAACATAAGAACTGCTCGCTTGATCTGCTTCCCGCCATACTGTAGAAAGTAATCGTAATAAATCCTTTAAGCGTGCTCACTAGTAAACCGCATAGTAAAATATATTTGTCATTATTCCAACTAAAAGAACAAAAAACCATCGTCATATCTGAAGTTTTCATTACTTCGTATGTATTATTATCTTTATTAAAAAGCTAGCTTTCTGATATCATATTACGAATTTACATATAAAATACGTAGAGACAATAAGATTACTAAAATACATAGTAAAAAAACACAATATAATCTTTGAATTTTCAGTCTTCAATTGAAAAAAATTGCTAACTTAGTTTATCAATGTTTGTATAATAAATTACATAAAATTTATAAAATTGTATCATTCAATCTGTATCATTCATCTTTGTTCTAAATGGCTCGAAATATACACATAAAATTTCGTCGAAATCCACGACGAAATTTTATGTGTATATTTCAATCAGTTCTTGGATTATTTGATCATACAATAGGACCCGATAAGGTACTCTGCGTTTCCGCTATGATGTCTGAAGTGTACGCTAGTATATATAAAATTATATATCTATTTATCCTCTGACTGTAGTTCGTCCTGGCCAGACATGGACACAGTGGAGATATAGGGAATACCAGGAGTTAAATTAGTACAGCATGGTAAATCCCTCAGGAATTAACCACGACGGTTTCCAGGGGAGAGGGGGCGATCATGGAGGTCGAGCTGACGTGGTACATTAATATCAACGTGGCTACTATTCATTACTGACAATCCCCTCCCCTTACACATGTGTATATTAAGTGTGTGTTGCATTATGTCATTGAAAAAGTTTGATCGAAACGAGATGAGGCGGCGGCGTTTGCGTAAATATTGGCGACACTTATTCAAGGCTGTTCCACTTCAGCTAAAGGCTATTTATAGACGAGCATTGATTTTAATTGTATTTTTTTATACATACGTACACATCATACCGGTAGATAGCTGATGATAAATAAGCTAAAACGGTAAATCTAAACTTATAAATTAATTTTGAAAATGTAAAAGTAAAATTTAAATATTTGAGAAATTATCACATATGAAAAATTTAAAAAGGGGCAAAATTAATTATATCAATAATTATAATGTTAAATTAATAAATAATAACAAAACTCCATGAAAGATTTTTACATCTTTCAATGAAACATCAGAAAGGACAAATCAGACAATACAGTAGCTAGTAATTTTCCTGAAATGAAAAGTATTGAATACTATTTCATAAGATTGACAGGGTCAGTGCTCTAATAAATTAAGCTATAAATTCCGTAGATATTCGAGCGAATTCGTCTACCAGCATACATGTAGAACGTCACGTAATTATTACTTACCATAGAGCGACTAACTCTACGTACTGTAAGAGCACCGCCGTTTTGAGAGTGGAACGTAAATTGAATAAATAATAATATTTCTAAAGAAGTTTGCATACTTTCATTGAAGCTATAGATATAATTGCTCGCAAATCTTAATCTTACTAATATTATAAACACGAAAGTTTGTAAGTATGGATGTATGGATGTTTGTTACTCTTTCACGCAAAAACTACTGAATGGATATTGATAAAACTTTACTTTAATAATTTTGAGTAAATAACCTTATACATCAGAATATATTATGTATTATATAATAGCTATAATGTAAATTATGCAAGTGTATTGCAGAGGAAGTTGGGCGGATCAGCTAGTATACCATAATAAAAAAAATGTTACACAGATTGATACAAAAAATATTTTATTCTTAGTCATACCCTTAATACGCGAATTGTTACCATACCCGTGAACTTCCTTAATTTTCTTACCGACTAAACATTCTGAGAAGTATTAGAAAACAATAAAAAAGTAAGTGAAGAGATGAATGAATTGCCGAGACGCGTTTATATACATACATAATGTGTGTATATTATGCATATTGACTTACCATTTATAGGAGTTGAGTAATTACAACATTAGATACGGAGCAAAAAAGCTATATCCGAATGGAGAGACCTGTTAGATTATTTACTATTATTGTATTAGGTACACTACATATATAGATAGTTTAACAAGAATAGATTGTTTTGATAAATTTATATATTAATTAATAAACATTTTACTTATTTTGTTAATATATACAAGTTTACAAATATAACTAATGACCTCATTATCATAAAATTACGTCGGCAACGAAAGTGAAATTTATGGTTTCGATTTCGTTATAATCGTTACAGATGCTTTTACAGTATATTTCTGTGACGCAATTGTAAATTCTCAACACGAGAATTCTTTAGTAAATAAATTAAAAAAGATGAACATAATTATTGATTAACTAAAACAACGATATGTAAAATATTTTAAAGAATTGGCAGCATACAATCTTGCGCTTGTTTGTGATTATGTCATGTATTGACAACCTCGGTGGTTTAGTGGTACAATGTCTGACCTTCCGGTGGTCGCGGGTTCAACTCGCACACAACACAAAACTTATGAGTATGACAGTTTGCATAAGTCTGGTTAATTTCTAACTACAAAAAATGTATTTACTTATATCTATCTATCAATTAAATAGTAGGTACCTATCGTGAATTGTACATTACCTGTACGCCAGTAATTCGACCTACCTATGTGACATCACCATGCAATTTAAAAAAATATAGCTGAGTAAGATGCTAAAATTACAAAAACCAATATCAGTATTCATAATATAAATATATAGTAGATATATACACAGATTAATATTTTATAAACAAACAATATATGTAGAGTTATTATTTTACAAAACTCCAGTTAGTATATCTTTAAATTAAACTCTATGTATTACCAAAATATACGTTAGTGCGTATACACACGAAACTGTATATTCTAATTTATAAACTCCTCTTTTCAGGACGGTGAAAAATAACAATAACATTGTAACGTCAACTCAGATTATAAATATATTAATTATATATGAAAACATTGATCGATTACTAAAGCGCAAACCATCGTGTTATCACATGATTACGAACATAACAGATAAGCCTGTCAATATACCTGTTCATTCATACTTCGCGAAAGTTGTAATTCAATTGCAAACTTTCGATAATAAAAAGGCATCATGACCCTTACCTTACTGTCCTCAATTTCCGTCCCTATTTGCCGCCAATTTTCCAAAATACTACTCCACAGAGAAACAAAACTGTCACGTTCGAAATACAAACTCTTTAAACTCGAGATATTTTTAAAAGTTTTGCAATGACGCGGGTAACACTTAACCGTGATGCGTGTGTAGACATTGGCGATCACGCGGTAACTGAGCAATATCTGGTAGGCTCCTTTTACTCGAGAGACCTCAGCTGTTCTGACACTGGTCAATGGTTATAGAGCAATGTATAAACTTCCGATGATATATGTGTTCCGGTTGGAATTCATGATTGGTTATGGTTTATAAGTACAGCACGCGGAAACAGTTGCGGATCAAATATTTTCATGTGATCTTTATCTGATATGTATCAGCAGGGACTCTTGCGCTTAAGGGGTAAAGGTTATAAACTCTACACTGGTCTTTCCCTAATGTTTATTTACGCAATTGCTTATAATACAGCGTAACTTTTTAATAAATTTTGTAGATAAAATCACAATGTGACATTGTCGTACCAAAATACATATAATAGATACCAGTTGCTTTATGTCTATATAGTATATTAACAGACAACTCTTTTTGACCTTTTGACGTCGCATTGTAAATTAAAATATACGTATAACAATCATTTTTATCTCTCTATACGTTTGAAATTTTAGATATATTTATACTTTCTATTAAGTTTTTACCACGTACATTAAAAATTTTAATAAATATAAATTAGTAAAACAATACAAGGTACAGTTTTGTTTATTTCTCTAGAAAAACATCATGTGCTTTTTCTATAATAATTTTTTCTTTCTGTTCTTCATGATAATATGAGTATCTTATTTATTCTCCCTTTACATACTTTGAAGTAAATTGTTTATCCCATCATAGCCTGTTAATCATTGATACATATTTGTATACGTATTATATTAATTTATGTGTTATACACACATAAATTATATAAAACGTATACAAATATATATCAACTCTGCTTGTTGTATGTAAGTGTGCACCACCCATGGTTAATGGGCAGAAAATACCATAACGTGTTACATTCGACTTGTACCCTGTATTATCTTTGTATGTAGTGAATTAAAGTTGTATAAATAAATATTTTTTTCTTTATATATAATTATTTGTTAAAAAGATATAAAGATTTTGGTCATCTTATAACCACATAATTACAACTAGGTTCGCATCACTTAGAACAATACAAATTTATGTGCAACACTGCACCACCCTTAGAATGATATTTCAACAGTACAGGTAAATAGATTTGTCAACTAAAACTTTCTGTAGTGCTTATTTACTCACTGATAACAAACGATCTATTGTCCGCAGTTCAGAGTATATATCTCCCTCATTATGGGGAAAATAATTACGGACCTTGGACATTCTTCGAAATTTCATAAGTTTAATTTGTTATGTCAAAATTATAGGTATAAATTTTATCTACAATTGTGACATTCTATAGTTATAAATATCAAATATAAGTAATAATTTGATTATAATTTTCATAATAAATATATAATGGAAATTAACATAGTTCTTACTAAAAAATCTTTAGCATAAAACGTATATTTACTATAAATTTTATATTTAGAAATAATAATGTCTTCAAATGAGTATTATTATACTACACACACAGACATACAGACATATCGTTAAACTTCTACATATGCCGACATAGTATTTGTAATAAAAATAATTTGCAATTGGAAAAATATCTATTAACAAAGCACATTAAACAGAAAAATAAAAGAAACCATTTAAAATACATTAACACAAAAACCACATCCAGTAATATTTAATTTAACTATAATCCTCGTTTTAGCGAGCATTAATTGAATCGATTCTTTGTATCGATTAATATTTGCATCATTATTGATATAGGTTTTCATAATTATTTTACAATAATCATTACCAACAAAATTACTGGCGTTAATAAATAAATTGGTTTAAAGTTCATTGAAATGCGTTTCGTTTATTGTTGTATGACAGTAAAAAAGATCCTAGTCTATTTATATATTCAAACTAGTTGATCCGCGCAACTTTGTCTGCGTTATTCAATGATGCTCCTTTTCTATTTATCTAGTGAGACATTATATAAGCCTATAACCTTCCTTGATAAATAGCTTATATTCTTTGTTTCTAAAATCAGTGCTTTAAACCAACTCTTCAGCCTTACAATATTAGATTTTTATATTTGTAAATGCATAAATATAAAAGTGAATGCGGTAGTATCCTAATGATAATAAAAAGAAAAAATTAAAGTATGGTTATAACATGTATTTTGTATATTATTATTTTTCAAAGGTACCATAAAATATTTAAGAATAATTAGTTCTTTATTAATAGTCTATTTTTGAAACTACCTATACCAATTATAAAAAATGAAAATTTCAATGCTGATCTGAATGTTTTCATTTCTAATTTTAAGAATATATGCATTTTTATATTAAAAGATATCAACGAGAGTTTGGTTATAAATTATTGTAACATAATTATTTTGGGTCTTCTGATCTACGATTACAGTGTAATATATTATACACGAAAAAAATAAAATTACGTGTAGTTATTATATTGCTAATATATTAAAACTCTAGTTTTTTAAAAAATAACTAATAATTTTCTTTTTTTCGTATTTTATTTTTTTTGTCAATAACTGTATTGATAGCGTAATTGTACTGTAGTTCATCCATCTAACAAAATATTTTCAATGACATTGTTGTTAAAAAATTAATAAAAGGTTGTCAAAATTCCTCCGGTACTTAATAATAATAATGTTGATTTATTGTGTACAATATTATATACCATAATAATTCAAAGTCAGTTAATATTGAATATATTTTTACTGTATACAATAAAAACATTTTCTTTTGTTGTATTTCTCTGTATGTATATATATACCACCGGGGGAGAAAATTGGCAAATTGACTGTAATGCGACCTCTGCAGAAATTAGCCTGTTGAATTTACATAATACGAAATGAATAGCGACTTAGTGTGTTGCAAGATTTTCTATTACTATGTAAATTTAGATAATCTCTATTGTAAAGGCTTAAAGACACAGAAAGAAATAGGTAGACTGGTAGGTGAAAAAAATAAAGATGACCGTGTAATGACTTTAGACACGCCAATACAACGCATTTGAATAGTCGTAATATGAAATAACCCAGTAACAGGTTACTTTAGGGTTGCAGCTTAACCATATAAAAATAAATTTTAATGAGACTAGATATATCACACAGCTTTATCCGAATTAAACAAAATGTACTGTGCAGCGAAACTAATAAACAAAAATCCTTTTATATAATATAGAGAGAGAAAAATCCTGTTCTTATATAATACTCGATTTCGCACGATTGCTATTAACTATAATACTAATTGTTCTAAAAAATATGCAGTTAGTATGGTTTACATATATTAAAAAAAAATCACTTTTTTTCTTCCATTTCATTTCTATTTCTAGAAAACAAAAATAAAAGCGTCCTTTTTGAAATCACAACTCACTTCTATCACAGATAATATTCTATCAGAACTAATAGAGTTCAGTTAGATAGAATAGTAAGCCAAACACTATATTTAGGGTCGATTCCTGCAACTATCACAAGGTAAAGCACTCTATTAAATACACTAACGAATTTATTAGTTGAAAATAGTGGAATTGAATAAACATTGAATAAACATTGTTGAATATGTAAATTATAAAAAAAAACATTTTAAATTATTTTACAGCGTATAAAAATATTAAATATAAGAAACGCAACTCAGAATACGATCACGATTTTCACTGAGTTTTTTTTATTATCTACATCTCTAGATTATTTATACGGATGTAAATAAAACGATTACCATTTTTTTATAATTGAAATGATTTAAAAAAATATTTAATTTTAAGTACTATGACGCATCTGAGACGTATTTTGATTGATACAGCATAATCCGTCATAGCTATGGGGTTTCATATTTATAACGCGTTGGTTTCATCATACGAGGAGAGTAGTTAACTTATTCACTATTTTTAGCTATAAAAAAAACTATGAATAATGGCATATTGAGTCATACTTATGTAATCTAACGTATTCTTCACATGTTATAATCAACAAAAACGTCAGTCAAAAATGACGAATCTTAGCAAATTATAGGAGAACAAATTTACACGCGTGTAATTTGTATAAACAGAGTCCTATATGTTAATATACAATATCGCCCACGTGAAGTAAATTCTATGCATATTCGTTTAGACGTTTTTTAGGTCTTTTTAGATATGAAAAATAAAAACAATTTCACAAATAAATTGTTTACATCTAAATACTTTGAAGTAATGTCAATGGCAGGCACTCCTTATCAATTGCCCCTTATTACGTAAGTGCCACAATGTGTTAACTATGTATATAACATAGTTAACGGTTACTAATCTTCAGTTTTTTTTTAATATTCATATAATAAAATTTATAAAATTACACATGACATGACATGACACAGACATGACACAAAACACAACATGGACAATAAAATAATGTTCATATTGAAAATTACATATGTATATTCAAATATTCGACCAGTGAGTAAGCAAAGGGAAATTTCTAAAATTAAATAGGTATATGGAAATTTATATATAATTATGTTTATAATATCGACAGCCCTAGATTAAGTCAAGCGTAACAGCAGAACACTGCGCCTACGACGCGCCGCGCCGGCGTGGCGGCGTTGGGAAAACCTGCGTCTGAATAAAAATTCATTGTTTGCTTGAGACAACTGACTTATACTATGTCATCGCCTACTTTATCAGGAGTTCAATCGTTATATTAAAATGATAAAAAACAATTTTAATAATTCAACTGAATCCAAGAGGCATTTGGTTAAAACACATAACATACATTTAACGTAACGTAACATACAACATATTAGCTGGGCCTGCAGTTTCAGCCGCGGAAAATTTCAATGCATAAATTACAATAAAAATTATGGCATAGGTATATGTTATTTTGATGCTATATTACTGTAAAGTTTTAAAAATCCATTCAGTAGTTTTTGCGTGAAAAAGTAACAAACATCCATACTTACAAACTTACGCATTTATAATATTAATAATTAATAATAAGATTTATAAAATAGTATTAGATTTAAATGTCCTCAATAGTTTAATTGTCGTATGTAAAA